CGTGAGCCAGCGGCACCGCGGGGCCTCGGCGGGAAAGGCTCTGGCGCCCCAGCGGGCTTAGCTTCTCGGACACGCCACTACCAGGCCCCGAAGGGTAGCACCAGCACTAAACCAACTCATTTTTCCCCCCGAGCCAAGAACAAACCCAACCCCACCCCTTACCCACAGCCACACAAGCACATTAGCCACCACCTCTTACAGATGGCTGCCCTATTAAGCGCACAGCTCCTGCGGCGTGCACTGCCTTCACTTTACTGCAGCCACAGTCCTAGGCAGGTCACTCTAAAAGGGGTCGTGCACTGACAGCATAGTTAAATACTAAAAGACAACATAGTTGTAAAACCATTTTCTCTCTTTCATTAATAACTACTGCATATTTAACTGCTGGCTTTAGCATGCCAGCTGTCTGCAAACTTACCTCCCAGGACTGCACCTCTGAACTCTTTCTGTTGTATTTCAGTTCATGTTTTTACAACTACCACACCTTTCATTCAGTCCACCTTCCTGTTGTCTCTCTCCCCCTCGCTCCTCCCAGGCCAAAAGACCAGAGAGCACAAAGGCAGAACGGTCCCTTTGCTTCCACAGCGCCAGTAGAGATGGTCTGCTCAAGGGGTTCAGATGCACCTCTCTGGGAGGGGAAGATCAATCTCTTTTTGCTATGGACAGGCAAAATCCCCTGCATTAGTCACATTACGTACCTGCCAGAACAGGGAGTACCACAGGTGGTTCCTGCGTAGGTCATTGGACAAGTGATTAACACATTCACACTTCGCCAAAACGGCAGAGCCTGCTGAAGGAAAAAGCTTAATCAATTAGTAAGCTTCATTCTCAGAAATAACTTCAACTATCACTGCCATATTTTTTTTTTTTGGTAAATAAAAAAGGAAACAACCCCCAAATTTGTGACCAAAAAACAACACAACAAAAACCCAAAACTACTCACCCAGTCAGGCAGCTAGGTATAGACATCTTGGAAATACAAGACAAAGAAACTAAAAGGGGTGCTAGCTCCCACAGCAACAACTTCTGAAGCATCCCCCTTTCCTTCCCAACTCTCTATGGTACTGTACTTCCTTGCCATGAAGAGAAGCTACAGTAGCCCACAATAATTTCAGTATACAGAGTAAATATTCAGTGAGAATGGATACTTCCTTTCTTACCACGAATTTCTGCTTTCCAGTCCATCAGAAAGTTTTTTTTAAAAAAAGGTGGGTGTGTGTGGGGAGCAGGGAGTGTAAGGCTGTTGCTTCCAAAGGACTGTAACTGCAAGAACAGGATTCGTGTAGCTGTTGGTTGTCCTGAACAGCTGCATAGCTATAGCCAAGCCTCTCAAAATTTCACAGAGCAGCACTATGGAAAATGAGCGCCAAGGCACCACTCCGCTGCTACAAATGACACAGTTCCTTCCTCCCTTCCGTGCCAATGTCAATTCTTCCTTCACCTAGCCACTCCTCCCAACACCTCAGTAACAACTGCTCAGTGTCACTGAAGTACTATGCAGGAGACAGTGCTAGAGCCTGGAGATAAGCAAGGGATCCTGTTTTACCTTCCGCTTGTCTGATGTTTTGTTGTTGACACAACATGAATTTCAAAAGAATTATGATTTGATACATTCTTTTCCCTAATCTTTTCAACGTTTAACTGATCTTGACGCAATATAGATAGCATTTCTCTTACCCAGTTCTTATTTTGTCAAAAATGAGATGATTTAGGTATTGAAATTTAGCTATCATTTAACTCTGGCTACTTATCAGTGTCTTACCAGACTTTTCTCAAATCAAGGCATTTTACTGAATGTATTTATGAACAATAAATAAATAAATAAATAAAAGCACAAAGCATTTTTGAAGTAACACACAAAAATAAGTTGTTATTTACAAGTAATATATATAATAAAACTACAACCGTGATATGCCTTTAGACACTGTAACTGCAGTCAACTTTTGCATTGTTTAAAAAAATTTCCTTAAACAGAAATTGTTCAGAATTATCAGTTTGTCCATACATATGTATGCTATGAGAAATACAATAGCTTTTCACATTTTTAAAGTTACCAGCGTAATTTACATTCCCCCCCCAATATCAAGTGAAGATTTAAAAATGGTGCAAACAGGAATGCAAAGACAAGTAGCTATGAAAGTTGAAATACAATCAATTTGGAACATGTTAGTGTTTCAAACTACAAATCCGTGAGAAAAATCCCCAATATTTGGCATGACCCCCTCACCACCCACCCCCAAAAGGTCAAAGCTAGATATCCTTTTAAAGGAACAGTGATTATTGCATATTCTATCTTTGGAAAAGCAGAGTTTTAATGAAAATATTTGTATGTACTTGATATATAGACATATTTATGTCAGGGAGGAAAGAAAAGCAGAACTCATGATCAGTAATGTTATCAAATCAATCCAGTTAATTTGTTCCATCCTTGCTTTGAGTAATCCCCCATACCACAGACAATCCAGTTGAGTGAATGGGTACTTTAGCAAGTGCAAGAGCAACAATCCAGTTTTACATGACCAACTTTCCATTCTGTAGAAGTCCTTTAAGAATCTTGGTCTTAACTTATATTAACCTCTCATTTAAGTGCTGACAGGTAAATTAATATATAATTCAAACTGATATAACAGGGAAAACATTTACTTTTTTTAAACCAGGATATACAAAAGACAATTTGCATAGTTACAATTCAAGCACAAAGTCACTGTAAATAGGTACAAAGCATTTATAAATTTACTAAAATTGCTGCTGTCTGTGTCAGCCAAATCTTAGATAGGTATGAATGTAAACTTGAAGGGACTGAGGAGAAGTCAGTGTTTTTGCTTAAAAAATACGTAGAGAATGTTTTTTAAAGGTTTTAAAAAATATTTTCTGCAGCAGGAACAAACAGTTCAAACCTCAAAGCCAGCCATCCAAAATGCCCAAATTCCTCCTATACAGCACAGAAAGTTTGTTCATAGGTTTCAAACCTACATACAAAACGAGGCACTAGTTTCGCTATTTTGGAATGTGTCCATAACCCTAACATTTCAGTTCACCGCAAGACTTCCAAAGCACTGTTGGCTTCTAGCTACCTAGGAAAACATATCTTCAGAAGGTGGTGCGTAAGAAAATCCAACGAATGCATCATCTGCTTCTAGGACACTGGCATTAACAATGTTGTAATCAGAAGAAACACAAATGGAGTATGGAACCATTTCTTCTGTAAACACCGCATCGAAATTCCCAATATCATCTGGTCCAACCTAGAAAACAGAAAGATCTATCAGTTGTCGTATTAATACTGTGTTTTAAAAACTTGTGCTTGTCTTCTAGATTTCGAATTTAACTCTTGAGGCTACTTTGTTGTTCTTTCCTATTTAAGTACAGGAAATTTAAGGAAGCACACCACAGCATCCCTGAAAAAGGCTATTAGAAGTTTGCTTGTTTCTTCTAGGCTGGAGTTCAGGCCAAAGCCAACACACCTTTATGATCTTATAAACCTAAGAAATATGAAGAACTGTCTCCTTCTTAAATGACTGTTAGGGAGATGCAAAAACTAACACCATCCCCCCAAACCAACCAAACAAAAACCAACCCCAAAAACCAAAAGCCACCAAAATGCACCCCACCCCCCCACAACCAACCTAATCCCAAACCACACCAAATTATCTTTCTCCCTTTTCAATCAATAGTACTTTACGTGTTAAATACTAGCAACAGTACTGCTGTTATGATAGATCAGCTTCCCAGTAACACCTAAGAACTAAAGCATAGTAGTATTTAGTCACAGAGAGAAAAGACAGTTAAGGCTTCTTCACCAAACAGACACAGACTCAACAGAAGGTGATGTTCTGATGTTACTTTAGGAAGGACTTCCTCCCACTGTCCTTCCTGCTTACTCCTGAGTTTTTGGACAAGCAGTCACAGATTGACACAGTTTTAATCTGACGGAGGATAAAGAAAGGCTGCAAATAAGGCTTAATAACAAAAAAAAAAAAAAAAAAAAAGAGGAAATTAGTCCTTTGGAAAGTCTTCAAATTAATAGGTTATCCGTATTTTCTCCTTTGGTCTTCAGACCCCCCAAAATTAATAGTGTGTGGTGGGCTGACCCTGGCTAGGTGTCAGGTGCCCACCAAGGCTGCTCTATCACTCTCCTCCTCCTCAACTGGACAGGGGAGAGAAAAATATAACAGCAGGCTTGTGGGTCGAGATAAGGACAGGGAGATCACTCAGCATTTACCATCACAGGCAAAACAGACTCAACGTCAGAGGAAAAATGTAATTTATTACCAATTAACTGAGAGAGGAGTAACGAGAAATAAAACCAAATCTTAGATCACCTTCCCCCCACCCCTCCTTTCTTTCCTGGGTTTAGCTTTGTTGCCAATTTCTCTCCCTCCTCCCCCTGAGCGGCGCAGGGGGACAGGGAATGGGGGTTGGGGTCAGTTCACCACACTGTTGTTTTCCGCTGCTCCTTCCTCCTCAGAGGAAGGACTCCTCACATGTTTCCCCTGCTCCAATGTGGGGTCCCCCACACGGGAGAAAGTCCTCCATGACTTCTCCAGCGTGAGTCCTTCCCACGGGCTACAGTTCACCTGCTCCAACGTGGGTCTCCTCCATGGGGTGCAGTCCTTCAGGAAATGACTGCTCCAGCGTGAGCCCCCCTCAGGGGGTCTCTAGCAGCAAACCTGCTCCAGCGTGGGCTTCTCTCTCTCCACGGGCCACAGGTCCTGCCCGGAGCCTGCTCCGGTGCAGGCTTCCCACAGGGTCACAGCTTCCTTCAGGCATCTACCTACTCTGACATGGGGCCCTCCACAGGGTGCAGGCAGTCATCTGCTCCACCGCCCATGGGCTGCAGGGGGACAGCCTGCCTCACCATGGTCTTCACCACAGGCCGCAGGGGAATCACTGCTCTGGTGCCTGAAGCATCTTCCCCCCCCTTCTTCACTGACCTTGGTGTCTGCAGAAACATTTCTCTCATGTTCTCACTCCTCTCTCTCGCTGCAATTACTGGTGTGCATTAACTTTTTTTCCTCTCTTAAATACATTTTTCCCGAGGCTCAACCACCGTCACTGATGGGCTCAGCCTTGGCCAGCGGCGGGTCCATCTTAAAGCCAGCTGTTATTGGCAGTATCTCACATAGGGGAAACTTCTAGCAGCTTCTCACAGAAGCCACCCCTGTAACCCCCTCCGCTACCAAAACCTTGCCATGCAAACCCATTACACAGTGCTTGGACAGAAATGAGCAGAGGAAACAATGGTATGTCAAACTGGGTTTTAAGTAAAAAAAGACTGTTATCATTGCTCAAAAGCATGACTGCTCAAAAGGCCAGTCAGCACTGGGGGGGTTACCATTCTTCACCATTCTGAAACAAACATTCTTTGCAAATAGATGAGCCCTTCAAGGCAGAAATTTGGCAGGTATGAACTAAAACAGCAGCAGGCACCTACCACATTAGGATTAAATGGTGGCGGAATCTTCTTCTGAAGAAGGTCAGTCCAGCTGAGAGATTCAAAAAATGGGTGCTTTTGAATTTCAAGCTGCAGTAAGAAATAAAGATTTTGGCCATTTCAGAAATCCATCCTGTGCCTCATTGTAAATGCTACTTCAGACTGCATGCACATAAAGAAGTCAAGTCCTTCATCAGTTTATTTATTCACACTTTGCTTTGCAATAAAAGCTGTAGCAAAACTTGTTAGCCTGCCTCTACAAACTGGTTTCTTTTGAAGATCATATTTTCTGCTTTTAAGCCTTAAAAATCAACCACAGAGAATGCTTTTTGTTAGTACTTCTGCTCCTGCCTTAAAGTTCTGTTAGTTTTGTGTAAAGTAGGTCATTGTCTGAGAAGCAGCTGCTTCAACAACTCTGCACGATGCTTACCAGTTATGAAGCAGCAAACAGCTATGTTAAACGCTACCATCCTTTCATCTTGCTCCACATTGTGAGAATGATGTTGAAATCAGAAGAAACACAAACTAAGTATGGGACCATTTCTTCCATGACTCTGAGAAAGTATGATGTCATAGCCTAAATGCTCCGTTACAAGGTCAACAGACTACCTAACGTAAAGGCTGCAAACAGAAGACTATGAAGACCTCACAATTCATGGATGGAAGAAGCCCTTTTAGATCATTCCTCATTGCAGAGTTCTGAAGACACCTACACTTTCTCACATCACCTTCTTGTGAACAAAGTTTTTGTTGTTACATTGAGAAAACATTTGCCATGATTTTAAGGCTAAAAGCAAAAAGCTGCTGTTTGCATGGTATCAGCAATCCTCTTTATCTGAAGACTGTTTTTCATGTATGTAGTTAAACTGACATTACCAGAAAACAGCCTTTTCTCTTGATTGTTTCCCAGTTTCACTACAGTGAAATCTACCTTCATACACCTTAGTGACTACTACACCAGGAATTGCTGGCAGGTGAAGCAGCAACCAAGCTCAAAATATTTGTATCCCATGACAATTCTCTCTCCTATCCCGAACAACTTCCAGGGATTGACCACAATGGTGTCTTTAATAAAGAAACAGAAAGGAGGGAAACAGACATAATAGAGCAATTTCTATCTCCAACTATTACAACCTATGCTGTGCACATAAATTTGGTGAATATCCCTTTAAATGAAGTAGGGCTTGTTAAATTAGGACATTACATACAAAATCTTCCCTTGCTCCAAGTCTGCTTTGCCGATCTTTCTCCAAAAGTTCTTCCAGAATAGACCAGGCTGTAAGACTGATTCCTGGGCGCAAAACTAGCGGTTTATGAAGAATATTCTCATACATCTCAGCAACATCACGGCAGTAAAAAGGAGGCTAAAAAATAAAAGTTATACATTAGTTTGAAGCCACACACAACATTTTTGCATGTGTATAATCTGTAAGTTATTTTAAAGAAATACGAACTGCTAGCAGTGAAAAAGAAATCTCTCTTCTTATGCACTGCTAACTTCTAATTCAGTCATCACCATTGCCAGATCTTTACACTTGATAGCCTCCCCACACACCTCCTCTCCTCCTAACATGTTCTCACACTCCTAAGTAGCCACAGATGCCATCCAGCTTCAAAGCTCCCATTGAAGCCTGAAAAGAACATGAGAATGGGAGAACAGATCTATCTCCCATATTTAAGGTCCTACAGGAGGAAATAAAACTCAAGAAAAGTAACAGAACAGATTGTTACACATGACTAGAAGAAGCATAATAAGATTTTTTTGTTCTAATGCTGCATCAAGAAGTAGAAAAGCTAGGAGAAAACCTGGGAGACCTAAGTAAAAAAAAAAAAAAGTCTTACTTATGCTAGTATTTGTCAAAGTTTTACTTATGAGTTGTGGTTTTTTAATTATTATTATCACTGTTGATTCAGTTTACTCTCACATTCCCTCATTCCCCCACATGAATACTTGTCTTCATTGGAGCTGATGTCCAGCAGTTCACTGGAAAGCAAAATTTTAGACATCAAGAGGCAATGTAAAATCCAAAAGAGAAAAACAGGTGCTATGTTAAGTACAAGACACACTGTTCATCCACTTAAAGTGGAGTATTTCAATATTTTACAAAAGTTAGCATCTTTGACCACACTCCAAGGTTACTTCACATCAAGGGGAGGGAAGCAACACCTGCCCTCCCCCCCCCCATTAAGTACATACCAGCCCATAAAGCATTTCATAAAGAACTGCACCAAGGCACCACCAGTCTACTGTGTTGTCGTAGGGCTGCTTTTTAATGACTTCTGGTGCAAGATACTAAAATAAAAAAAATAAGTAAAAATGTATTTTAGAGCATTAGGCTAGCAAGAATAAACCCTAGGTTTTAGTCACATCACAGTAAACACCTTCAGGAGAAGTTGCTTCATAGTAATTGTGAGACTGCTAAGTACTTCTCTGGCTTTCCACAAACCTGGCAATACTTCGCCACCATCTGGTCATTTACCAAGTAGGACAGCTGTTTTCCCAACTGAAACAATACCTCCCATACACTATCGTTTTGCCAAACCACTTTGCCACCTCTATTATGAAACTTATTTTACATTTCAGATAGGTTGCCGCACTGTTGTGGAGGCAAGATCTCTTGGCAAGCTGGCTACTAGAGATGCTTAGTCAACCACTCTAAGTCTGTAGGCTCCCCATCCAGTACATAGAAATGAAAGGAGAAGATATTAATTCTGCCCCAGATCTATCATTATTGAGAAATTGTATGACCTATATTAAGTGTCACTGTAAATCTCGATGAGAGCATGAGTTGTGAGTTGCTAAATCAGAGATTCTTGTCAAGTAGGTATCACTTGTTGTATGATAAACATCCAATACCATCAAACACTGAATGACAACGCTAACTGGTTTCCATCTGCCTTGCAAGAAATCTACTCCACACCTCAGAGCTTACTAACACCACAGCACAAAGTCAGCCACTTCATAACACGAGACTATTCTTTGTGACTATATAACATAAAATTACTATAGCTGGATTGTCATCAACTCAGTCCTCATCTATAGCACACAGAGTTTCTAACCTCTCAAAACAAGAGGATGCTCACTTCTATCATTCTAGTATCCAAATTCTGAAATTTAATTTACAAATAGATGATAGCATTGTCAGACAAGGCACAGGCTGAAACTCACAGTTTAATTAGATCAGTATTTCTCAGACTTTCTGTATGCATGAGTGCCCTATAGTTCATTTGTCTATAGATCACCCTGCAAAAGCATGAAAAGCAGCTGACGTATTTTGAACTCAACTACTTAAGCTTTTTCTAGTCTTTCACAGTCTCCTTTGAGCTTTCTAGGTGCTGGAACTCACCAAGTCATTCAACTAAACATTTAGAAACACTGAGAAGATCATTACACTTTTAGCAGGATCATGAAAGATTTGAACTAAACCTTGGATTATAAAGGCTAATACACAACGACTATCTTTAGTCTTGATATTTTTAAGAACTCATACGAAGCAATAGCATTACCATCCTCTTATGTTGCAATTCACACAGGTCCGAGGTAAGTGCGAAGACTAAGCTTCTGAACATGAGAAAAAATCCCCAGATTTTCTCAAACAGATCCACAGTTACCAGTGCTCTAGACACTGTCCTTTGAACTTTCCAGAATATTCAACAAATATTGTTTCAGCTCACATTTACCACTCAGTTTTATAGGTTCCTACTCTGATCATAACTAAGGTAAGTTGTCACATGTTGCCACCTGACTTTTTTTTTTTTTCCAAAAGTTCAAATGTTTCAGCTGAATACTGTTCCTCACTTATCCTCCACTGCCTCCAAAGGCCTCTTCTGTAATTTAAATCATGTTGTTCAAATTACCAAAGCCACTAATCCTGACATTTCAGTGAATCCCTCGTACGTGTACAAGACTTCCAGATTCTAAGTTTTCCAGTGTAGTTTTTTTTCAGTTAAAAGACAACAGAGTTCAATAAACTCAGTCAGCAAGTTCAAAGTTTCATGCGCACGCAAAATTTGCTCAAGATTCAGATATTAAGTCCCTGTAAACGTACTAAAAATCAGCGGCAGGATATGTTAAATAGATTCATATTGGGAAATCCGTTGCAGCTGTTACACAAGCTAACTGTCCTGTGTCTAGCCAGCGGTTAGAAGACATGGGAGGAAACAATGTTTGAAAGGGTTGGAAAAAGGGAGGAAGGAAGAGATGAGTTATGGGGACGTGGGTAGGAAGTAGGAGACACTGCCTATTAGTAAAAACGTCAAGGAACAGATTTGCAGGAAGCTTGTCTTTGGTTCGGTTTCATGAAAGAGCTTGTTAAAAGAACAGAAATCTCCAACAGTATAAAATGCAATATTTGATCTTCCAGTTCCACAAATATTAGTAATAGTCAACAGTCACTAACTGCTAGCCAAAAAACTATGAAAGTTGTCAACATACTTCTGGTGTCCCACAAAAAGTTGCGGTGGTATCAGAACTTGCAATCCCTTCTTTACAAAGTCCAAAGTCTGTCAACACGACGTGACCCTGTTTAAGAAAGAATGGTATCTTAAAAACAGAACATGCTCAACATGTGGATACACCTAATTGTCAATTTTGCGAGAGAACACACAAAAGCAAAAGTAACATTGCATACTTACTAGTGAATCTAGGAGAATGTTTTCTGGCTTTAAATCCCTATTTAAAAAAAATATTCGTATTAGTTCAAAATACTAACTAACATGGTCACTAACATAAGAGCTTCAGAGGCAAGGACTTTTATTCATCTGAAAGATTCAAGTTTTGGTGAAACTGTTATGTTCAAGTTTCCCCATAAGGTGATTTCACGTAGTGTTTTTTATTTAGTAATTTGTCCCATTTTGAACTTCTGCAGGACAAGGATACATTTCAGGAACTTACCTGTACACAATATTTATGGAGTGTAAGTAGCCCAGTGCACTGGCTATTTCAGCAGCATAAAATCTGGCTCTGTGCTCAGGAAAGGAACGTTCTCTTTGTAAGTGAAAGAACAGCTGTAAATTTGCAAACAGTAAATAAGAACATTAGATACAAAAAAATCAGGTTAATAATGTGTAATTTTAATAATAAAATGTAATTTTATTTAGCTGTCCACCTTTTTTTTTTTAAAAAAAATGTAAAATGAAATAAAATTTGTTTTGCTGCATGACTTTGCTTTCTTCCCTTCTTCTCTTTTGTAGCTCAGAAATGGATAGGTAACTCAAACAGATAAGGACATTCCCCTAAAACCAACACTAGTCAAAAGGAACTAGAGTAAACCACTAAGCTGTGAAGAGAAGTTGGCAAGATTCCATCACACAAGGTCGACTCCTAATAGAATATAACCTGGAGTCAAATAAGTAATCTTCCATTTCTGCATATGCTCGTATTCAAAGTCTTACATGTAATTATTTATAGAATCGTATGCTAAAATCACCTAGATGTAGATCACTTTGGGAGATGTATATTCCAAGCTGATCCACAAATTCTCTCAGCTACAGAGAACTGTCTGGCTTCAAATAGGCAGATATGGAAGTCTAGCCAAAGATTACATCATAAAGATATAGATTAAACTATACTACCCATTCAACTGCTAAAGATCTTAAGAAAACACAGATTTTTTGCTTTCCACCTACCAAGTCTGAGAAAAAATAAAAAGCCATCAGAGTTTTCCAAGCACTTCATTCAAATATGAAAGCTGTTTTGAACTGTATTTTAGTTTGCCTGGAAGAATGCCAAACTAAGTTGTGGCCAGGAATTCCGAGTAGAGCAAACCAGGAGCTTGCTAATACAGTTTAAGTAAGATGACAGTACCTAAGACAAGAGAAAGGCACATCTTGTCCCAACTCTTGACACTTAAAGGGATCAGAACACTACCTCTACGAGCACCATAAATACTGTCAGTAGGCCACATAAATATGAATTAGTGCATACCCCAGTTCATATCTCATCCTGGTTTATTCAGCATACTTTGTACTCAACTGTGTATATCCAGCTGCAGCAATGTAACAGGAAACCTTGAGATATGCCAAAACAAACAATTTGAACTCTATCCCTTCTCCTGTGTTCTTTCAGCTACCAGTTTTATCATCTACAACACTATCCTGCCTCATCCTTCTTTCCTGTTCTGCTTTAAGCACCTGTAAGGCCTTTTGAAATGTGTACATTTTACATCAATAAATTACCAAACTGAAAACACAGAAAGTGACAAGACATACAGCTCTTCAAAGCATGTATGTTGGATAGTTCCGTTCATATGGTAATTTTTCAATACACTGTTTTCTTCAGTCACAAACGATTTCCCAGATAGGTCCAGGTATTATTAGCCTACAAGACCCTTGATTGTCCACAAAACCTTTTGAAGGAATGGAAGCAACGTTTTATATACCCGTCTCGTGTCGGCTATTGAACCAGTTTACACATGACTTTCTTGAGCACTCCTGGAAGTACTGGGTACTTTTGAAAAGCAACGGGTCCCAAGCTGAAGAGAAACCGCTCCAGAACATCTTATCTGAACATTACATACTTTCTTCACTTCTTTCACAAGTTTTCCCCTAAATTCAGATTCAACAGCACCACTTCAGGAAAAAGAATCCTGAGGACAAGCCTATTTGGCAATAAGTAAGTAGACCATGCAAAGCTACAGAATAATCCCAAGGTTCCCAATAATACCAGTGTAGTAAATTCAGTTGCCAGTTTCCTTCCCTCTGCTTTCGAAATACTAGCATCCCAGTTAACACAGATTCAAGAGGAAAAGACAGTTTTACATGATGAAAAATATCAATATAAAATTAATGTGTAATAAAGGTAAATTTATGTAACTGTAAAATACAGTACTTGTATCCAACGACCATGAATAAATTTGGGATTAAAGCTGTTGATAAGAAGAGGAACAGGGTCTGTACAGTTACAGAAGTCTGTAGTACAGCAGATAGTAACAGGATTTTAAAAATTGGGAGAGTGCTGATCACAGCCCATTGCAAAGGATAATTTTGTTCCTCCCACCTAGAATCAGCAGAATAGAGAAATCAAATCCAAACATGACCACCGCATACCTCTCCTCCATTAACAAAATCGAGGACAAAGTAAAGCTTTTCCGTTGTTTGGAATGAGTAATGTAATCCAACCAAAAATGGATGTTTCACATTTTTCAAAAGCACATTACGTTCAGCCATAATATGTTTTTGCTGTAAGGAAGTAAAAGATCAACAAGTAAACAGGCATGATTTTGTAATTAAGGGAAAAAGGAAGGGAGGTGGGTGGAGAAAGAGTATTTCTCTTCACCTCTTTCCTATTAAGAACAATTTTTTTCTGCAGCACTTTGACAGCATAGTATTTCCCATCCAGTTTTCGTTTTGCAAGAAGAACCTGTGAAATACAAAACAAATGAAGAAACGTGATTGTTGCAGTTCACATTTATTAGTGATAATAATTCAGCATAACTGGAAAGTATAAATGCTATTTCTTCACAATACAGTCTCCTTGCTTCTAATATAGTCAATCAGCAGTATAATCACACATCAGAGTGAGCCTACAGTTCAGTAAAAATCTGTCATGACAGTGATATCATGAAAGACTGAATTGCAACATTTCTTTTCCATGACCGGCTGAATCTCTAGCAAGATCAATTTCAGCTGGTTTTAAAGATAATCTAATGAAAAAATTTCAACACAGCTGGTGAAGGGCCTGGAGAACAGGTCTTATGAGGAGCGGCTGAGGGAACTGGGACTGTCTAGCCTGGAGAAGCAGAGGCTGAGGAGAGACCTTATCACTCTCTACAACTACCTGAGAGGAGGTTGTAGTGAGGTGGGGGTCGGTCTCTTCTCCCAAGTAACAAGCAATAGGACAAGAGGAAATGGCCTCAAGCTGTGCCAGGGGAGGTTTAGAGTGGACATTAGGAAAAATTTCTTCACCGAAAGGGTTGTCAAGCACTGGAACAGGCTGCCCAGGGGAGCGGTGGGAGTCACTGTCCCTGGAGGTGTTCAAAAAATGTGTTGATGTAGTGCTCCTAGACATGGTTTAGCAGATATGGTGATATTAAGTAGACATTTGGACTTGATAAATCTTACAGGTCTACTCCAACCTAATGATTCTATGAAAAACAACAACTTAAAAAATAACCCCAAAACAAAGATTTCAAGAGGGACTCTCTGTTGCATCTTTGTAGAATATCAATATTTAAGTCACTTTTCAATGGGCTGTTGCTAACGCTGCTGCATAGCATTAGGGGTTTGACAAAACAGACCCTCTACGTCAAAGGGAAATGCACGATTCATACTCCAGCTGCCACATAAGCACAGAGGTACCTCCCTTCCTCTCCGGGGGAAACCGAGGATCCCCATTGCTCTTAATGAGAAAGGGAAACCCTCCCTTTTGTTACTCTCAACAAGTGACTGAGGCAGCCAACAACTGCCACACCAGGGAAAAAATGGCAGGGCTATAAAGAGGCAGCAACAGGGATCCAATATGACAGTTTATACGCCATCCTAGACTGATACCACTTCCAAAACCTCTGGCCCAGTCTCCAGCCAACAGTCACTATGCAAAGACACCTGCAAGCATCCCTGCACCAGGATAAGACACAGTAATAAGAAAACTCACCTTGCCAAAGCTGCCTTTCCCAATAACTTTCAGGAAATCAAAGTCTGTTGGTTTAGCGCTGAAAAATATTTAGGAAGGAGACAGGTCATCTGGCTATAAATTACAAGCTTTATAGCTGAACAGCAGTCTAGTGTAGCACTTGAGTTGTAATGTGAGAACAACAGTCTGTTAGCATCCTCCTTTATTCTTCATTCCACCCAACTTAGACTTCTGCAGACCATCCCTTGGAGACAACTCTTCTTTTTGCAATTCCATTTTCCTCCAGGGAAAACACTCAAATTGCATCCTTTGAGTTTATTTTATTTTTTAAGTTTAGGGTTAAGATGTACAGGAGGAACAAGACTGTTCTTCTATTCTCAACAGTCTAGTTGCTTGTAATTTTTAAGTCTCCATTTCCCCATGACTTTTCCTGGAGTTTATTTCTCATTTCCAGAGGGCCAAATGGATTCTCAAACTTATGTGAGGGAGGGAAGGAAGGACCAAGTTTGTTATCTATTCTCTCCGCTTATCCCATCTATTCCTCCCTCATTTTAAATTACAGCGAGGGAGGCCCTAACACCTTCCTCTTCTGTGTGTGTACGTATGAATTCACTCTCAGTTTTTCCACTTCCCACATCACCACTCCTTTCAGTTTTTCCCAGGATTCCTTTACTTTTTCCTAAATACAATTCAGAGATATTTTTGTCAGCAAAAGAATTATCCGTGTTTTCAAATTTCAAAACAACAGTTACATCACCATACACATCTCCATTTATTGTCCCTGAAGGGAAGTACTCTTAAATTTCATTTCTTACTGCAATCTATTAAGCATTTCCTCCTGTTAGCCCAGAACAGATCTGTGAGGAAAGCAAAACCAAAATAGCAGTCATCTCCCAGATGAGAAAAGCACAGATTCACACAGAACTGAGAACAGAAACTCTACAGAAGACACCAAACAGAGAAGTTATGACTGCAGCAACTAGGTCTGTAGTGTCAACAAGGCAAGCCACTCCTTTGCCATGCATTGAAACAAAACTTGTTTTCAGAAACTGTTTACATTCTTAACAGTTGTGGGACCGCTCCCAAGACAAGAGAGGTCATCTTTGCTATAGCAGACTAACAAAATCTGAAAGTGAAAAGGAAAAAACATTTTTAAGATGGTTGTTTACTTAGCACAGGGTTCAATGTTTTGCTTCCTCCTGAGCAGTGCAAATCAACAAATAAAGGCATATATCCAAAGAACTGTTCCTACTATTAACAATTATACTCAGCCTAACTTTTCAGGTTTTAAATGGAATTTTAATAAAATTTCATTAAAATAAAAATGTTACAGTAAACTGAAATACATTTTAATTTAATTTAATTGAAACCTACTGAGGATTTCCAGATGGTCCCAAGTTGATATTCTGTGAGGTAGAATTTAACTGTTGGGAGAGACAAAGAAGTTTTTTGTTTTGGTTTGTTTTTTTTTAATTCTCTCTTATATTTCAACCAATAGTAATTTCAAAATACTCTACAAATTTGCTCAATTCCATACCTTTACACTTGCTACATTAGATTTTTAAAGAGATCTAACATCCAGATTGGGAACTATGTAAGTTGAAAAATCGGGCTGTTAACACCTCATCACACATTATTTCTATGCACATCACATTCAATGATGCAGGTAATAAAGTAATTGTGTCCATACACAGAGAACAAGATTAGGAACAAAAATTTAAGAGTGTTCCAACAAACAACTTGTTCCTCATCTGGAGCTCAAGCCTTTCTGTATTTGCTCTAGGAATGTATTTTCTACCTTTTATTCTAAATTTTCTGAGATCTTACCAATAAAATAATTTTAAACCCACATTGTTTATGCAACAATAATTAATGAAAGATGTGGTGCTTTTTAAAAAAAGAAAAAAAAAAACCCAAACCACAAAAGCAAACATTCCCCCTGCCCCAAGAAAAACATTACCAACCTTTTCTATCTGACATTAAAGATGTCACAGAATTCCAGGAATGACATGAATCTAACCAGTACACACCCAGACAGAATTTGTAAGTTACAGGGAGAGGAGGAAGCCACTGTCATTTAGGTAATTTTCTCCATAAAAGCAGTATTTGTACCCTCATTGTGGTGTTGGACTTCATCAGAGAAGGATAAACTGCATTTAAATACAAGTTACCTCGGGACAGGCTAGCAGACATCACAAAAACAGTACTCCTACAGAAGCAGAGAATGCCCCGACAGCAGCACTGGGTGCTACTATTCACTAGGAAGAGCCAATCACACAATGGTACTGCACATTTTTAAAGAAGCTACTATAGAAAAGGGGTGGTTTTTTGAAGGCTTGTTTTTGTTCTTTATTCTTCAGCTTCATCATTTACAGTAACTATGAGAATGTGAATTTTCTATCAAAAAGTATGGTCCAGGCCACCATGCATTAGCTCTCTTCTTATTTTGGAATTCATTGTGGCATGATACATCATTAAATTTTCACAAAAGGTTTAGTTCATTCCACATTACTTAAAATACCTTTCAAAGGAGAAGGAAACTGGTACTTTAAATTAAAATTTTGGTGCATGCTCACAGTGTTGTCAAGAACTTAAAAAAAAAAAAAAAAGGGGGGGGCAGCAAAGACTGGCATCTTTGGAAGTGAAACTTTCAGAAAATACTAAATCTGCTGTGGGTCACACAAACCAAAACGACAACTCTCACATCTTTAACACGGGCTGAATAAGAAGAGAAGTACTAAGTTCACATATGTATGCCAAGAAGTAAGCCACAGAGAAAACAAGCTTAAATATGGCATTTCTGCCTTTCCTAGAAATACTCCTTTATTCAAACAGCACTCTTTCTTTCTAGAGGCTGTAAACTAATTTTCAGAGAATCCATCCAGCCATGTAGTGGCTTTTGTAACAAAACAGGCTTCGGACCTCACACAGTGTTATATACGAAATGAAATCAAATCCATCCTTGCTCCTGAGTGGCTTTTAGAAAGACTGCATTTTTTTTCCCTGGAGAGAATTATATTTCTCCTCCTCTTTTAAAAAAAAAAAAACAAACCAAAACACAAACAAAAACCCCCACAAAACCAAAAGCACAACCAAATAATAACACAATTAAACATTCAATCTCCTCTGCTCCTTATCAGATGCGCTTAGCAAGAGTCTTTGAAGGGATTGCAAGAACTCTGACAGGTAAGCTATGACTACAGCTCTGTTTCTTTAACCCATATAGCAAGTGGAGAAGCAAGACAAAGCTAGCCATCACTTTTACCGCTCTTTGCAATTTACATCTGACAGAAAAATAACTTGCATCCCACAGTGGAACAGATTTGTTTAAAAGAGCATGGAGGGGATTTACTGTGAAATGAACCAGTAATTTTCAGTAAATAATATACCTAAGATTGCCCTCAAATAGCTAAAATCTAGAAGACTGCTCTCCTGCTTTATTACCTTCCGACTGCTCCTTTCATCTTCATCTTCAGATGGATCCGACTGGTGTTTTGGGTTATCCATCTGAAGAAAGGCTCTAACATCTGGGCTAGAAATACAGTTAACTTCATTAGCACACTGATAACCTGCATGATTTTCAGCCACAACCACAGGAACCATAGGATTAAACAGTAGCGTACAGAGGAGTTACTCATCACTAAGTTTTATATTTAAATTCTGGTAATTAAGACTGTGCACAAGGAATGCTTTTACAGCAACATAATTCAGCTGCTGAATGTGTTACATACAGTACATAGAATTTTCCACTTGCAAAAAACTGACATGTTAAAGTGTATGTATGTGAAGACTTCATAAGGAAATACTATGCAGAACTGCATTACAAGGTAATTATTAGAAGAAAGCAGAAGTTCTAACTGACTAGCAACCACCAGGAAACCAACTTTCAAAAAACTGAAGAGTTTAAAGCCATTTTCAGTTTTCCAAAACTAATTAAATAGTCCAACACAATACAGAACGAAATACATAGTCTGTTTCCCAAAGAAATACGCACGTCCCAGGAGATACATAGCAATAACATTCCTGTCCCCATTCACTTTAAAGCAGAAGGTGATTTTGCATTCAGTATGCATTCTGGCTAGGCACTGACAAGACATTAAGAAATCATTCCAGTCAGCTGCAGGACACAAATGCTATCCTTCAGGAACTGGCAAGAGAGACTACAGGCTTCCCACGGTACCTAAGGAGATGCATTTTAACGTCAGCATTGGTTTCCAGCTTCTGTCTTGATGGGGTTTGGGGGAGGAGGACTGGGAGAAAGGAGGGAAAGCAAGGCTTACCCGACAGTAAGTTCAGAGGAATGCAACATCTTTCTTAACCACAGCACAGTGAGGGAGTAAAGAATAATGTAATATAAATGAGGCAAAATTAATTCCTAAACAAATGAGTATCACTTATAGCCTATATACCACTTGAAGAGATGACCTGAATCTTTCAAGTTCCTTCAGTTCATTAAAAGGCAGCCTGCTTATCAAGGAAGAAATCTTATCTAAATTTTAGACACAAAGGTCTTTGAGAAGGTCTCGGGGCAGCCACTGATAGGAAACTATGCATGCGCTGTTCAGTACAAAAAAAGCACTAACTTTACCACAGAGCTGCTCTTTTATCTTATCCCTAGTATATATAAAATAGCGTAGTTTTATAAAAGAAGCAGATATACTTGCTTCGCTATTTTCAATCCATTTCACCCTCCACACTTTGTAACATGAGGACGTTTCTCCTATTTAAGATCAGCATTACTGAACCTAACTCATGTCCTATGCTATCTGAGGCTCCCAATCTCCATCACTTACATTCTGTATTCCCAAACTCTCTTTGAAATCTGTTTCAGTTACCTGCAGCCTTTCAGGTTTAAAGTACAGCAACAAGACTGTTCACACAATTTCTCACTATCATTTCAGCTTAATTCTTCCCATCTTCTGATCTATTTCAGGGTCTGTCTTGTATCCTGAGTCCCAGGAAGATAAAAATCACTGTGGTTTGATTGTAGTAATATTGGCTCAAAATGCAGCAATTTAAGTTTCAGAATCTTTGGGTATCATAAAATCAAGAATAAAAAGTTATGGTTAATGCTTTTCACTAGACAGAACAACAGAAGCAGATCTCAATTACCTTTCAGCATTTATTATTCCGGACAACTGGCTCATTAAGTAGAGCATGTTGTGATATATCTCAAATAGTTACTATAGTAACTTTGTCCATGACTGAATTCACAGCAGTAAAAAGTAAAAATAAAAAAATAAAATCACAGTAAAAGGCTGCTGTATAGTTGCAGGGTATTCAACAATCTCCACGTACGTGGCAGCCAGAAGCATAACTGACCAATGTCACATTGTGCACATTTGTAATTTTAAATGCACTCCAAAGAAATAGTGATTAAAAATCAAAAGTTTAACGTACCAATTTCTTAGCCAAGACTGCAGCATGTTATGCAAAATGCTATATAGATTGGTAGGACTTTGATGCTGTATTAGTTTACATGTATTAACTCAATATATCTTAAAATACGCTGAAAATATTCCTAAAATAATCTCACATATGCACTTAAAAGGATCAAGAAAACTGTTTAAAAAGGGATGCTTGATATACATTGTACATACACTACCAGCAAAAGTTGGTTTTATGTGGATTTTTAGGATTGACTGGAAAAATTTAGTTTATGTATTATCTCTGAAATCCATGAAGGGGTGTCAAGCTCCGCCTAAATAGAGTTCCTTCTGTGATATTCATTCTGCACTAGCCTTCCTGCAAAAACATATGAAGCGGCACAAAAATTTTGGACACACCCAGAAATACAAACAAGCCCAAAAAGTCACACAAATTTTGAAGCAAAATGGTACAACTAATTGCCAGAGACAGAACCTCAACATTTAAGACACACTTTATTTAAATAATGGTGCCCAGAACCCCCCTCTTCTCCACACACTCAAAAAAAAAAAAACAAAAAACACCCAACCAAAAAAACGCCCAAACCAAAAAACCAAACAACACTGCTACCTTTCTTGCAGAAAGCAAAGGCTAAAAAAGCCATAACATACAGTAACATTTTAAAAGAGCACAATTAATGTAATACAAGGTTTCCTTTCCCCAACATGGACTGCAGGAACTTAGAATCCAGGGGTTTCACATTCATTTTATATTCATCAGGTTTTGAAGCCAGAAAAAGATCAATTCACTCTGATTTTCCTCTAGGGAACAAATGCAGATCCCCACTTTTCACTTAAAGAACTACTAACTCATTTCCCCACAGAGGCTGCAAGGTATTGTCATTCAAGTTCTTCAAGTGTTACGCAATTGTTCTCATTTTCATTAAGGTGATACTTTGGACTATTTAAAAATAACTATGTTATATCTTTAATGCATCCTCTATTATACATTTGGATTAAAAGAGATTTTCTCTGGACATGTTCTGATAAGACAATTAAATGCATTAATTTTTCACTGAATACCTACATTTGAGGAGGTGAGCAGCCCAATTTGAATAGTTGCTCAGTGATTTAGGGGGCCTCACAGTGCTCACAAATAACAAATGCCCAGCTCCTGTTCAGGACATCAGTCAGCAAGGGGGAGGCATTACCAGATCTCTATCGCTTCTGACATTTTTTTTTGCAACATCTGCATTCTATCCATGAGAGCAAGTTCTCTGCAAATACAGTTAGCTGAGTAAATGCAGCTTGAAGCTAGTCCACTTAATTACCAATTCGGTCTAAGCCAACGATCCATCTCGCCCCATATTCCACCTGACAGTGACTGCAGGAAAATCCTTATCAACCATTACAGGGCTAATCACTCTAGCATACTTTAGGTTTTTGTTGGGTTTATTATTGAGCAGGAAGGTTTGGCTTTGCTACAATATTCAACAAACATGTCAGACTCAAGAATAAAGTCCACCGAAGGGGGTGTGGGTGTGGGGCAGGGAAGAGAAAAAGAAAAAAAAAAAAAAAACAAAAAACCAGTGCCACATGTTTCAGAGAATAATGTAAGTATTACCATCTTGGACACATTGAATCTGACATTTGTGCTTTTCAACTCAGCTGTTCAGGTGCCTTCCCATCCAGAAATGAGGGCATCATCATGAACCATCCTTAAGCTTTTAGTGAAACAGTTTTCCTAGGCAGGACTTACAAATACGACATCCTGATACTGGTTTTAATGCTTAAAAGATGCAGTGGAAGGTGGACATCCTTAAAGTTCTGTGAGAACACATAACCCTCTAACCCTTCCTTGTATGTTGTTAACTTTGCATAAGTTATTTTACCTAATATCAAATTTAATTATCACATTAAAGCAAAACAGTCTGAGAAAGCAAGGATGTGGACTATCTGTGAAGACTCAGTCACCACATATTCCTTGATAGTTTCTAGCAGATTTAAAAAAAAAAAAAACCACAAACAACCAAGGTCATAAAGTTTTGGTACTTCTTCACTAATAACATTCATCGGCACATAGAAAAGGTGACAGATTACGTAATTATCAATATGATTCGTTGCAATGGAACACTGCAAAAAGTAAAAGCTCACTCCAGAAAAACCAAGTATGCTGCAGTTATTAACATAAAAACAAAACAGAAATTAATATAAAATTAAATGCTTTTGCACTGAATTGTGAATTAAAGGCTTGCTTTTTCTCCCACATAAATCACTCTTACTTTAAGGGTGGGAAGGAGGAGAACAGCACAAGACAAACTTCAGTCTCTGTTTTGTTTTTATTGTAGAACTATGCCTCAAGCTTTTTATTTAACATACTTTCAACAGCACCAAAACACTTTATAATACCTATTTTTTAATATTGGTTTAAGCTAGTTTTATTGGATCAGACAGGCTAAAGGTGCCACGTTAAAGAATATAGATTCAGCTACAGATGCGTATGAACATACACCAATTTTAAAAGATCACAACATTTAAGAAGGCAAGTGGATTTGAGGTTGGGCTTTTTTTTTTTTTTTTTTAAGCACACAATTTTATGATGTGGATAGAAAAAGGAAAGTACCATTTTACCTTTGGAGAACAAATACAGTACATTTTGAGACAAAATACCTGGTACTTGGACATACTGACAACCGAACAGGGGAGGGAGACTGTGCTAAATAAACCCAGTGTCCTTTCCTAATGTAATAAAATAGATTAGCTTTCAATAATTAGTTACTTTGAAGTGCCTTCTGTTCTTTCCCAGAGAAGAACACTACTACAACCACAAACCTCACAATATTTGTTCTAGGGGAAAACTATTCCACTGTAAAGACTTTGTTTTGAAATTTTTTCCACTTATCACAAGGAAGTATATATAAATGCTCTTTTTTTCAAAAAAAAAAAAAAAAGAAAAAGAAAAAAGAAAGGAAGTACATATTTCAGGTTAATAGGGCATTAAAAAGTTCCTTTGTTGGAAAAAAAAAAATTTGACTGCAAACTGCAGCATTATTCTGTTATTTTTCCTGTGGGAAGCTGTTAGTTTTACAGGTTGTACAGATAGGCTAATTAAACAAAGCCGATGTATTAAAGACATTCACTCAACACTAAAGCCAAACATAGAGCTTAAACATTTTACTAGTTCAAGCAACACAGAAAGCTGCATGGATTTAGTTTAAACTGATTAGGTATAGATTTAAACTGAAAGAAAAATGCAGTTGACCCCCCAAATCAGTTCACACACGGAAGTGTTATCCTCCAGATTTAATTGGAGCTGGCTCCAGCATACCACTGTCTCTCATTCATCACTGTCCCATTCACGGAAGCTAACATGCCTGCAGTTCTTCTGATGGAACAGTTTATGTGCAAGCTTATTCATTTGCTTTAGGCAAGTCAGCTTGGTTATCCCAAACCCAAAACCATAAGCAAGCTCATTAAGCTACGTGGTTAACATGCTTAAAACA